AAATTTCTCCCCCATGGCTATATCTACAAAGAGTCTGCCTTTGTTTCAGCATATTATTTCCATACAACCTTATGGAAGTTTGTCCTGGGTAACTTTTTACTGCCAAGGGGATTCTAGTCCTGAAACACATCCATACTAAAGAGCTGATTACCTATAAGAGCCTCATTACAATGTTATCCAGGAACAAAACAAAATATAATAAACTTCTATGGAAATTCTTTAGGAGAAGAAGAACCGATCTATAGCCTTTAATTAAAATGTGTTTTAATTACCCAATTTAAACAAATACTTGGAGCTTTGTTCTCTGTTAGCTACAGTGTGTGTTTCCAATACATTTTTTAGAGTTGTCAGCCAGTTGAACATTTAAATCGATCAGCCTTCTTGTTATCCATCTATTAATTGATGTCAATTAATCAAGGTATCAATTAATCAAGGCACATCAAGGTATTTAATTACACTACCAGTTTCTCTCAGTGAGTAACACATAACACCTTATGGAAATGCTCTTAGTGAAACCTTACTCAACAGATATACAGATGGTGTACAACACCAGGGGATTACAGAAAGGGAGCCCAGTTAAAATGCAAGAGTAAATTTTTAAAACAATGAATCAATCAATTTTGTGAATTAATTCTTGCAACCATACAGTTACTGCAGGAATTGCTATCTTCAAAGAAAAGAAAATTCTGGCTGAGGTCTGGCTCACTTATGCATGTGCTAAGTCCCACTGAAGACTGTTCAAACTGGTCTTCAGGGCTGCAACTTTAACCCAGAACCCATTGAATACTGAACTCGCGCTGCCTAAAAATGTATTCATACCAAACTTCCACTGAACATTTAACGTAACCACTTACCAGCCCAAGAGGATCAAGAGAATTGCCAGTAAGGTCACCGACAGTGCTGTACCATTCATTTCCACAAAGCCGAGACCAGAGACAGACATTAGTCCCATTTTCATCGACAGCAGCTGTAGACCGGTAGAGCAGGAAAAAGAAGGGAAGTCTCAGTTTAGGTGGTAAGAGCCGTCCAACTCTTATACAGATGGTAATCTGCAACGAAAGAGGAACCAAGAACGTCAGTTTGACGCAGTCTAACTCCAAACCAAAAACGCCAACTTTTCCTGTTCTTGCTGCCTAACAGATGCAGAATTGAGAGTTTCCGGCATCAATAGGCCCAAGCAACTCCTTCTCCCTCACCCCCTTTAATGACTGCAGCATCAATAAATATTTACATAGTTGCTGCCTGAGATATCAGAGCTGGCCCACAGGTTTTGCAGCAAGGGATGAATAAAAGATAAGAACCAGCTCGCCACTCGTGACCTATAGATTTAAAAGCCTGGAGGGCAGTAGGTGAGAAATCGAAGGAACTTCTTTATCACGTTTTAATAGAAAATATCCTAGACAATATGAAGATTTGGGGATGGCTCTGCTGATTAATAGGAACGATGTTCAACAGACAGCTCTAGAAATGCGCTACTCAAAGATTAAGACTCCGTCAGGCGGTGGGAGGGCAAGTTTCCTTCTTCGCAGAACTGCTAATATGTGTTAGCAAGGTTCATCTCTGGAAGGAAAGGAAGAATCGGTCTCCATGGCAATGCAATCCTTAGCATTCGATCAGGAGCCCAGTGAATATATGAGGGGGCCTGACATTAAGTCCTATAGGCATTTGGTTGGCCACTGTGAGAACAGGATGCTGGACTAGACTAGGCCTCATCCAGCAGGTTCTTCTTATACATATAAGACTTGATCCATCAAAGTCAGTGCTGCCAACTTTGACTGGCAGAAGGTCTCTGCCAGCAAGGCCCTCTCCCATGGGTGTAGTCAAGGGGGGACAGGGGGGCAGCTGCCCCCCACAGATCAAGTAAAACAATATAAATACTTAATTAACTGACCAATCACATCAGTTCTGCCCCCCCCAACAAAAGTCCTGCCCCCCTAACCAAGTCCTGCCCCCCAATGCCCTCCCCAATACTTTTTCCACTGGAGACTAGACCTAGGACTTTTGGCCTGCAAAGTTTGTGCTCTATCACCAAGCGACACTCCCTCCAATCATTGAGTTTTCAGTCACAGATGGTGAAGACCAGACTTTCCCCAACCCTTGGGATGTTTTGGACTATAGCTCCCATCAAACCCAGCCTGAATGTATGAAGGAATGTGGGAGTGTGAGAGAGACAGATCAGGACTGGTAGTGAGCCACACCTGATTCCCAACTCCATAAAACTTTCCCAAATGTTCTAGTTAGGTCTGCAACTGTGGCCACCTTTGATCTCTATCCCCCCTCAGGCAGGAGGGGAACCAAGTTATCTTACAACCAGGGTGAATGAAAGTAACATCCAGCTGAAATTCCCTCTTCATTGCAACACCTTCCTGATTCCTTTGAAAGACCTACCTGTTCACCAAAACCATTTGCTTATCTTTTATTACTCAGCTATTCTGAGTGATGGCTTTTACTGACTTGTTTATGGTGCTGTATTGTGGACGGTTGTTTGAGTTTGAGGCGTCCTTATTTTTGTAATGCACTGTAAATTTGGGGGTTTGATGGATTTTTGTTCTGATGTTTTCCAGCACTTCACCCTAAGACAGATAGATAGAGTATCTATCTATCTTAAAAATGAAGGGATGCAGATAAACATTATTTAAACACTGTTTAAAATCAATACAAGGGGCAATCTATAAGTGTTGTTCGTTGTCGGAAAGCAACTTAATTTCCATTTTGAAATGTAAATAGCAGCTGCATAGGTGAGCAGAATCAGGACTGTGGCACATGGGAAAGAGGCTTAACCCTTTCCCCTCCGCTGCTACAGTCATGATAAAATTCACTCCCACCTTCTCCAAACTGCTACCTGTCTTGACAGGAAAGCTTCCCTAAGTGCCAACAGAAGATTCTCTCTCAGGGAAAAGCAGCACCTATGGGGAGTGGGAATATGATTTTCCCCCAGGGCTGAGCAACCCCCCCACCACCACCACATTCTACAGCCTCCATTCTGCTTACCCCACATCCACAGTGGCATTCAAGTATATATTATCCCACTTTCCACTGAATTTCCCCGTCACTTTGCTTCTGGCAAGAAATCTGATGAGACAAGGGGAGAAGTGGGTTTGTTGTGCAACAGCATCAAATCAGCTTTCCGTGTGCAACTTCTATTTGCCTGCTTGTGACTAAATCGCACCCAAAAAAACAGACAGTCTCTAGAAGCACCCTAAGGCATTTTATCCATAGAGGGAGCCTATAGCAGATGACTTTTCCAGTTTCTCCCTCCTCTGACAGGCCACTGCTCATGCATGTAGACTTCAGCAGCCATGCACCAAGACAAACTAGTTGCAGTAATACCTGCAACCCAGATTTGAGGAGAGTCACCGTACAAATTCACCAATAACCTTCTTCTAACATAGCACATTGTTTCAACAAAATCCTACTACTGTAGTTGTCACTGGTTGCTTGAAAGCTAGAACGTAAAACTAGATATCCAGCTTCTGGAACAAGCCCAAGTCTAGTGATGATGGCTTTTTAAAAAGAATTAAACACACAAACACAAAGTTTTTTTGCAGTTTGGCCATATTTCTTGAGAATTAGATGTGTGTGTTTTCCTCAAGCAGCTCTGAGAAATGGGCACTCAACAGCCTAAATTCCCAGAACTATAAAAGAACAGAATATATAGTTTCTCCCAAGGGAACAGCTTTGATTTAACATTTGTGGCTTCTCTAATATCTGGCATTTTCTACTCTTATTGTAAAAATAAAATTGCTAACAAAGTTTAATTCTAAGGTGACTTGGCCCTGCTATTACCAAATGATGTTATGCTCCCCGAGCTGTGTAACAAAATGAATGCCACCCCAGCATTCTCTAGAGACTACTAAAAGGGTTATCCAGTTCCTCAGCTCTGCATAGTAGTTCACAGAGACACCCTTACTTTATTGTATTAATAATGGCACCGTCTTCCAGATGCTGGTCACTCTGGATCAATACATGCTCTGCCACTTTACTGCTGTCCAGAAAGCAACTGCATTAAACTTGAAGACAGGGAAATTACAGCAGACTATCCCTCTCAGCAAGGAGGGAGTTTTCCTTCAGTCTTTACATTCACTGAGCCAGATGGACCAATGGCAGCATCCTATGATCTTGCATAGCAATGTACGGTTGCTAAGAAAGGTGAGCAGGAGCCTTCAGCCCTCAAGAGTCAACATCTGGGTCCCAGACTGAGCAAGCACATAGGCCACCAGGTCACAGTCTTCTTCACTATGGTGAGATGGAGTGTTTTAGTAAGAATAAGATGGATAGCTCAGTTAGTTAGAGTGTGGTGCTGATAATGCCAAGGTTGAGGGTTTGATCCCTGTATGGAGCAGCTTCATATTCCTGCATTGCAGGGTTTGGACTAGATGATCCTCATGGTCCCTTCCAACTCTATGATTCTATGAAGTATTTCTAAATTTGCTTCTATACATATACATATAAATTACATATACATATTCTATACATATAAATTAGCATGTGAAAAGTGTATGCAAATTTGTAAACCCTCTTTTTTTTTTTAGGATGTAGAAGTAGTTATTTTATGATCCAGAGCCATTCATGTTAACACTACCTTTGGTTGTTTAAAATTATAAATGCTTATATTTTTATGTGTTCACAGGATCATTTTATTTTGCGTAAGAGGTTTTTATGTTTTGTAAGCCACTTAGAAACTTATTTCAGCATTAAGCTGTATATAAAATAAAATAAAATAATAATAATAATAGTAATAGTAATAATAATACAAATCTTCATTAAAAAAATGACAGAAGGCATTCAAATAACAGAAGGCATTCAAATAGCTCAGGGTACAATGTGTATTTTGTGGGGGGTGGTCTTCAAAAACCATGCTTTTATCCTTGTGGATAAACAGATTAATGCATAAGCAGGACAGAACAGACATATGAATGTGAGTTCTCAAACCAGTACTTGTTGGGATGTGGGGTGTGGGGAATCACTTAGGTCACTGTTAAAGCGCCTTTAAAGTGCATGGCTTCTTGCAAAGAATCCTGGGAACTGTAGCTTTGTGATGGGGAAACTACAGATCCCAGGATTCTTTGGGGGAAGCCATGACTGTTAAAAGTGGTATAATAGTGCTTTAAATGTATGGTTTGGAGGTGAGCTCAGTGGAGCCAATGTAGGATTTTCTTCCAGTGCCAAAAGAGCCAGGGGTTTTCTAGTTTGGCCCTAAGGCAGCTCAATGCATGCCTTGGAGGAAAGGCAGTAAGATATGGATGTGTGGCTGGGGAAACCCAGCCGGATGGGAGAGGTATCAATAATAAAATTATTATTAAGAAATAATCCTTCATTCATGGGTAGCCATGACTAAAGCCTGGTTGGCAGACAGTAGTAAGCAGTCAGTGGACTAGGGGGACTAGACCAGTATACCTTAAATGTTCCCCTGGCACCTCCTTCCCAAAGCTTGCGAAGCTTCTGCCCAGCTTAGGGAGGGTGATGTGATGCTCATGCGCACAATGTCCCGCGCATGAGCATCATGCCTCCCTCCCTAATCAGCTTCACAAGCTGGCACCTCTGGCCTTAACTGTTCCCCTATGAAAAATGTCACCGTACGCCATTGTTGGTCGACATATTTCTGAGGATGCAAAATCCTCATACTGAGACTGTACCCCCCATTTCCACAAGGGGATCTGTTTGCATGCAAGAAAATAATAAAGTTGTTGACTTATTTCAAGCAAACAAGCTTCCCACCGAACACAGCCATTCAGCACCCACCTTCATGTGCTGGGCTCAAAAGAGTTTGAACAAGGGGACTGAAGGTAAAAAGGAATGACTGCATCAATGTGCTCCCCTAGATAAGCTCCATAACTCCAATTAAATCTGTTGGAAAAATAGGTGTGCGCTGAGATTACAGCGCTGGCTGCCGCGCTGTTAAAGCAACACTGGCACCAACTCGCCTCCTTTGCCTCAACATCAATTGGAATAAGCCTGCATGTGAATTGCCCACCCAACCCCCGTAACATATTACACATCAAGACTAGCACGCCAACGCTTAAAGAGGATTGTAAACCTTGGAGAACACAGGTTTATAATGGAGCTAAAACACCAACGCACCTTTAACTATAGCAGCCCTGGGAGAAAAGATGTTGCCATAAACTCCGCTTCACTTTCCCAGCATATGCATTTACAATACATGAACGACATATATCAGCTTCTACACTTCCAACATACAGAGGTCTTACCATTTTCCTTTCCACCAGAGGAATGTAGTCTTATCAGCCTGTTTCAAAGGCGGAAGGAAAGGGCTCAAAAGAGAAAGAGGAGGCAGAGGGAGAAGATAGATCTTGTTTTTGTGTTGCTGGAAATAACAATCTTGGCAAATAGACAGCAGTGCGCTAGTAAATGTCAAAACAGTTTGCATTATAATGATCTATTTCTATACAATCAACCAAAAGCCAGAAGTTCTGTGTTAGTCTTCTTCCCATGCTACCAGCATGGATCCATGGCCAAATGTTTACTTTAAACTATTCATTTTACAGTAAAATGCCTAAAGTTCAAGGCAGGGTTGCAAAAGCCAACTCTCCGGTATACACCCCAAACTGTCAGTCAAAGCGGATCTTGACAACAAAGGCTTCAACAAGACAAAATTAAAAAACATGTTTGCAGAGAGAGCGCCCACCAACTTTTTGTTATTCAAAATTGCTGCTTGAAAACGTTTTTGTTTTTTTTTCATTCAACAAAATATAGACCGCCCCAGTTAATTGTACACCAGCAATGAATGACATAAAATAGGAAGAAGTTTCTCTTCAGCCAGGCTCCAATACAGGACATTAACTGAGCAGGGAGCTGAGGCGCCAGCTTGTTCCACCGGGGGGGGGGGGAGTGTTACACACATGACATCATACATGTGACATGGAGACAAGCTGGGGGCTCCCCTCCCAGCATCAGCTACTGTAATTGGCGGGGAGGAATTCAAGATGCCATTTTGCGGGTGCCTCGAATAAATAAATCAGACTGAAGCTGGGTTGTTTGAGTTCTGCGTGAGGGTTGTGGGGGAGAAGAGGTTTCAGCCCCCTGGCTCCAGGCACAATTTGGGGAACGGGCAGGAGAAAGACAAAAGAGAGGGTACCCAGACCTTCCCCTCTCAACGTTCCCTCCCTAGAAAAGGAGGAGTTAAACCTCGCTTCACGGCGAAAATCCACCCCTATATACCTCAGATTAAAACATTTAACTCCCGCAGGCCACACAATTAATGTAACAAGTAGTTAGGCCCCATCACTCTAGCTGCTGCACTCTTTATGTTTCAAATATTAAATTGCAATGGAGTTCTTCGCTAATAAAACATTTACTGTTTCCATCACACCTCGAGGGGTATGATCAGGGCCACGGAGCTGCCGCAAGTGTATACAATGAGAATCCCCTGCAGTCAACAAAAGAGCAAGTGTGGAGAAACTCTGGCTGGTAATATGGTTTTATTCCCTTTCAAGGTGCAGGGAGGGTGTTCCATACATGTATGAAGCTGCAGGGAGAAATGACAAATACATTACCCGGTCACCAGGTGCAGGAGATATTATCCAGGGTACTGACTTAAAAGAAGAAACCCTGCATTTATTTCACAGGTATACGGTAAATGTCACTGTCCCCAGTTGCATCCAAAAACCCTGCAAACTCCACTTGGAAAAAAATGCCACTGGGTTGAGCATCTGATGCACAGAATTTAGGGTGGGTTCGCCTTTGTCCATTTAAAGGTGTGGCAGCGAGGACAAAGTGAATCAGCAGGTTTACTGCCTCCATAAAACTCAGAGCACCAAGTCTGAACACATCGAGGTATCATGGAAATGGTGACCTCTGTAGACTCAGAAAGCTACACTTGACACACGGTGTCTAGAATGTAATTATTGCATTTATATCCCCTCTTTCTCGAGGCATCATGCAGGATTCATCCCATCCCATTTTATCCTTACAACAGCCCTTTGAGGTAGTTTAGGCTAAGAGCAAGTGATCAGCCCAAGGGCACCCAGAAATCATCACGGCCATGTGGGGATCTGAATTTGGGCTTTCCTCCCCTCCAATTCTAACCACCATAGTTTGGGTCCTATTCTTTAATTTTCTCATATATATTTCTGTCTTGGTACTCTAGAAGAGAAGTCTATCATGCCAGTCTCCCTGAAGTGCTAGTTTTATCACATGCAGGAAATGCATTCAGAAAATATCACACCTTCTTCGCCTGCACCTGAACTGATATAAGAGTGTCCAGAATTCTAACTGCTGGTACCGGTGACCCATGAAGGCTTTCATTGGTGTACCAACCTCTAAGCTTTCGTAACAAAAGCAGTCAGTCTCTAGCCCTCCTAGAAAGAGAGTTATGAGGCAAATGTGCACACCACTCCAAAAGGCCTGGTGAAACCCTGTTCTGGTATATGTAGAATATCTTTTAACAAGCAGATTTCCACATGAAACCACACTGCAGGGGAGCACTATGGCATGGCACCTTAATCATTATGCAGCATGCCAGAGTTCTCTTCAAGCACCAAAGTGCACTTGGACTTCACTGCAGTTGGTCCTCTTTTTGCCATTACAGCTGGGCACCACTTACGTGAAAGTTCAGTTCCGGGGGTCTGCATGCAAAGGCAAAATCATGCAAAGTCAGGAACCCCCCGAGCATGCCAGAGCCCTCATGCTTCCTTGTCAGATCCTGCTAAGCAAGGAAAACACGCTGGGTGCACAGGTAGGTTGTGTGTATAAATGGGGGGTATTTAACAGGACTCCTTTCAGCAAAGAAATGGCCTAGCATCCAATGTTTGTCTTTTTCTTTTCTGTTCTTTCTTTTGCACATGAATCAAACTAGCATATGTTTATGTTTGAAAATGCAAATGTTTCACATATTATTTAGCTGTACAGTGGACGCTTGGGTTGTGAATGTGATCTGTGTGGGATGCATGTTCGCAACCTGTGTCTGAGCATGCGCGGGCTGAGATGCGGTGCTTCTGCATATGTGCGACTGCCGAAACCCGGAAGTAACCCGTTCCGGTACTTCTGGGTTTCGGCAGTCCGCAACCTGAAAAAATGCAACCTGAAGCAGCTGTAACCCAGGTATGACTGTAATTCCTGCATTGTGGGGGGTTTCGACTAGATGATCCTTGGTTTTCCCTCCCAACTCTACAGTTCTGTGATTCTACTATTTCTATTTTTATTATGCTACTCCTGCTGCCACCTTAGCACTAATACTTTAGGGTATCTGAGGCACTTTAGGCCTCAGATTTTGCCAACTTCTCACACAAATATTATTTTATGGCCCTCTGGCATTTTAATACCAAAAACAATTAAGTTATCAGAGCAGTCAAATCTAGTAGACACATTTTTTAACGTAAGAACCACACCAATTCTTTTAAGCATTGCTGCTTTGGTTTCAGATCTCATAGATTGCTTTCCGCCAAACAAGCAAAAGTGATCCCACATTATTCTCTGTCATTGGTTAAAAACGTGTCTCGCTCTCTGACCTCAAGACAATGCTTGCTATGTTGCTGCAGCTGGTACTTTTCCTCATTTATGTATGTTCCTCACTCAGCACTTGTGTCTTGTAGGTCAACTGGCCAGAGTCAGCCTTACTGCAAAACAACCTTCCCCAACCTAGTGTTTAGAACTTCAACTCCCATCAGCCCCAGCCAGCACAGCCATGTTGCTTGAGACTGATGGGAGTCCTAGTCCAAAACATGTGGAGGGCATTCTGCTAGGAAAGATGCTCTAAAGCAGGGTTTCCCCAACTTGGATCTCCATATGGTTTTGGACTACAGTTATCATCCCTGACCACAGGTCATGCTAGCTAAGGAGGATGGGAGTTGTGGTCCAAAACCAGCTGCAGACCCTCTAAGCTTGAGGAACCCTGCTCTAAAGCAATGTGAATTCAGTGCACCATTGAAGTGAATTTGCTAACAAATGCTCCTGCCAAAAATCCTGAAAAGAGGCTGCCAGTCAAACCGAGGCAATACTGAACTGACAAATGGCTCCGTTTGGACTAAGACAGCTTCTTGGCTTCCTTTCATTTGTGTGTTTGGTTTGGAAACATACCTGTGTCACAAACCCGAATGATCAACTAGTCTCAGACAGGCCT